CAGGAGATAAGTGAAGGATGGGAAAAAGAAACAGAAGGAAAAAGTGTATAGTTTTTTATAATCTTTTTTTTTTTTGTCTGTTTTAAAGATAACAGCTTTTTCCAGGCTATGCACATGCAGAAGGAGCTCAAGAACTCCCTGACAGTCTTGCTTAGGACTATTGTCTAGGCTGTGATTATTTTTTTTTTTTTTTTTTTTTGGTTTTCCTTACAAAAATGTGACAGAGGCAGTTGCTGACAGAAAGAGGTCAGTGTCTTCAAACAAAGTGTATTATTATCCTTCACAAGGAGAGTTGTCTGTGACCCCTGGATTTTTTTCTTCACCCCATTTCAGCAAGTAGTGCTGGCTTGCTCAGGGACCATTTCAGTAGATCATACACATTAGTCAAGTTCCAAAATACCCCCTTGCACCATATGCTACCTAAAGTATAATAATCCTTTAATCTGTCCACTGCATGACGTCTGGGCACTTATTTGACATAATAATTCATGTCAATTGTTCCTATCAGTGTGTATCAGAGGAGGGAAGTGCCAAAGCAGTGGTGGAGAGATGAGGATTTAGGAAAACGCCCGTGGGGAAGTGCCTTGGATCAGGGGAGACCTACCTGTGTGTGTGGCAGGTGACCAAACTGTCACCGATATGCCTGCATATATATCTTTATATAAGAATTATACTATCCTGAAATAAGCAGAAAACAGAATAGAAAGGGGAATACAAACTACTAGGACCCAAGTTACAGCAGCCTATTAATATTTACTCGATATCTCTTTATACCCTCTAGTCAGCACAACAGATGTAGCTGCGTTTTAAGACATTATCATTCATTGAAAAAGGCAAAAAAGATACTCCTTCCCTCCCTCCTGTGCCTGATAATCTCAGATGTTCACCATGCACGCCAGGGGGAGGAGGTGGAGAGACGAGCGCTGGTGGGAGAAGAATGCAATTATCCCAAAGCCTCCTGACGGGCATCCACTTCTTCCTTCCAGCTTAGCTGCTCTGACCACAGGCTGGGGGCTCGTGGGACATGGACCAGATTGAAAAAGTGGAAGCAGACAGATGGTTATTTGTAATCATCATGTAAATGTAAATCCTATAAAAATGTTTTCTTTCTAAGGGCCTGGAAGCTGGAAAGCAGGATTAAGGCATGGATATCTAGCCTAGAATAATTTTGACCCGGCCACCTTCCCTCCTACCCCATAAACATCGTGGGTTTATCTCCACTTCCTTTAAACAAATTGCTGGAGCCTCGGCCGAGGAAATTAATTCGGTTTCCGTGTAATTCCCTGAGTTTATGAGCATCGGTTTGACCGAGGCGTGGATTTGGGCCTAAGCTGGCAGGTGCTGGTGAGCAGTTGCCTTGGTAGCAGGGGCTCCTTTTTAGTCCTTTCCCCCTCCCTCCCTGGCCCCGGCAGGTGCGTGCCCTGTGCGTGTTTATCTCGGCGCTGCCGTCGCTGGATGTTCTCCCTTTCCCTGGTTACGCTCCTGGGTACCTGGAAATGGCCATGCAGGGCTTTGCACGCCGTGAAGACCAACGTGACTGCTCACAGACATCCATCTCATTTGAGCAGCATCAGCTTTCCAAGCTACAAAGGGAGCGATCAAACTTTAATTAACGCTTGTCCGCAGCACCACTGTGGGCTGTGTGTACGTGTGTAGCTGTCCTTCCCAGCGCTCCCGTCCATTGGTGCCTTTCCACACAGCAAGGCTTAGCCATCCAGAAGCTTTTGCCCTTCCAAGGCTTTGCCTTTTTAGATGTGAGGATGTTTGAGCTGCAGTTGGGCTGGAGGAGAGGAGCATCTCCCTTCTGTGTCACTGTCTCAGTTGTGGTAGCCCCTGGGGTCCCAACCTTCAAAGGGAACCGGCTGTGCTGCGGTGCCAGAGTGGGTAGGTTGGAGTGCTAGACATCCTTCTTTTTCTCACCCCTTGGCAAATCACAGAATAACAGAAAGGTTTGGGTTGGAAGTGACCTGAAAGATCATCTTGTCTCAATGCCCCTCCTGTGAACATGGACACCTTCCACTAGTTACTCAGAGCTCCATCCAGCCTGGCTTTGAACACCTCCAGGGATTGGGCATCCACAGCCTCTCTGGGGAACTGTTCCAGTGCCTCAACACCCTCACAGCAAAGAATGCAGGGAAACACCCAGGCAAGCACAAAGGGAGCTACGTAATTTATGATAAAATCGGAATGAAGCAAAATAAGAACACAGGATGAGGAAGAAGAGGCTGGTGGCAACATTTTTCCCACCTGTGTTGAATTTTTAAAACATTAGTATCTGTGCCCTGCCAAAAGGGCCCTGAGGAGGGCTGGCTCCTCAAGTGAACACAAGCTTCTTTGCCGGTGTGTGGAAAGGGTGATCTGCTCAGGCACACCAATAGTTATCTGGAAGTACCCAGCAATTGTGGATAATTGGCTGAGGAATATTCTGCAGCTCTCAATCACTTTTCTGTTTTCACAGATGATTGTACCATTAGATATGGTGAATGCACTAAGCTGTGCTGCAACTTTTCCATTTACTGTGCTAATATGTGTGAACTCAACTTCCAGTCGATGCTCCTTTCTTCTGTGGCTTCCTGTGCCACTGGAGGGGGACAGCCAAGCTCACCAGCCTACACTCTGCCCCCCTTTCCCTGCTCCCCCTCTCTCGGGGTGATGTTTGCGTGGTCTGGATTGGCTGGGCTGATCAGATTAATGTCTGTGCTTTTCCATTGTTAGATTGCTTTAAAAGCACTGAATCACAGGAATGGGAAGCTGTGCCCTGTGCTCTTTACCTTGTTTTTCTCTCTGCTTTTATTTTTTTTCCCCTGTCTTTACCTGTTTTTTATTATTCATGCTCCCTAAACTTAGTGTTCCCCTTCTTCCTCTTCAAGTTGCTTTCTTGCTTGAATTTATTTTCCACACATTTTTCTCTTACCTTTATCTTTCTGTCACAGCTTTATTTTTTTTTCCCCATTTCTTTTTTCTCCAACCATTTTTTGTTTTTCTCCAAAACACGGAATGCTTTAGATGGAAATGACAAGATATATCTATTCAACACTTGCACATGTGCTGAGGTACAGAGCAAGATTAAGCAAGGCATGTAGCATCAATTTTGTCTTCCATTCAAGCCAGTTTTGCAGTAAGACTTTGGATAAAGGAATGTGATAAAATCAAATCACCTCTTAGCCTCATATTCTGAAGCTGATTGGAACCTTACACAGTTGCAGGGATGATTCAGAGAAAGTTAATGTAATTTGCTGTGTATCACTCCAAGAAACTGTATTTGTCAGGTTCATATAGCGGAGTGAAATGTTCAAGGAAAATGCTGCCCTTAATGTTGCTGCCAGGAGTTAGGAGTCAGGAATACAAAGCCATTATGTGGTGGGATCTGCTGATTTTCTGGGGATTTTCCACTGACAGATTTGCACTGAAGTTCTATAATTGTGAATAGAATCAAGCCAAAAAAATAATGATTTTGTGTGTAATGGAGGAAGTTGATTTTTATCCATTTGCCAGTTATATGAAAATGGCTATAGCATTGTCTAGAAGTATTTTTTCTTCTTGTGTATCATAAGAAACACAGATACGTGAAGATGCTTCCAAAAAACATGATTTTGTAAGACTTTTTAGGGGGTTCTTGCCCTGAAATTGCCACTACATTGGCTTTCTTGGCTTTGCAAAATGTTGTACTGCCAAATAGTCAGCAGCCCATGATCTTCATCATAATGTCTCTGCGCCGTGCATTGCATAAGTTATTTCTTCCATTTGAAATTCTAAAAATTCCATTTGTGTCAATTTGATTATTGCAAATCAGAAGTGTATAAATGATTTGTATTAATCAGAAATATTTTGAGGTTATTTTTTGTTTTCTGCTGGGAAAAAAAAAGTATCAGTTGGGCATGTCACCTAAGAAGACTTCAGGTCCTTGCCAGTCTTCGCATTTGTTGCCAACTCCATCCTGTCACTCTTGTTTTATACTTCGAGAGCGAAACCTAGATAGTCACTCTTTGTGTGTGTGTGTTAGAAAAGGAATTAACTTCCAATTAATTCCCTCCTTCCTCTGGGATCTACCTGTGTATCCCAAAATGGGGAACTATAAAAGTTACATTTTATGTCATTCTGAGTGCCACGTATATACAGCTCACTCCCCTCAGCCTGTTCAGAAACCAATTCTTGTATGTATTAATCATATTTTTCCTCTGGCTTATTGCAGAACAGAAAAATATTCGGTTCCAAATGTTAAAATGGGGCACATTTTATTAACATTGAAAGCAGTAAATTATCTCTGCTTATGAAATGAGACTGAGCAATTTCTGCTGAACTCCTCCTGACTTGCCCCTTCACTAGGATACAGTGTTTTCTAATTTCTCAGAGGGCCCTGGTTCCATTAAGGGCGAGAACTGTTTTAAAGCTCTAATGAAAGCCATACGAAGCTGAAATTCAAGGAGGGGCAATGCCCTAAATTCTATTTCAGTAGCTCATCTAGAGCTATTTTCAGTTTTATGTTTATAAGAATGTCAATTAACCTAGAGACTAGGACACACATGGAAGAATAACGAAGTGGATATCATTTTAACACACTGAAGCCAGCTAGTTGGACTTAATTCCTTATAGAAGCTTGATTTACGTAACAAGTCGACCTGTGATGCCTAATTCAGTCCCAAACAACTTGGTGATTTAAATGCCCTTTGTTTGCTATGTCATGGGACAGCACTGGTCGAAGTTGCAGAAATATTAGAACTAAATATATAGAAGGAAGAAATAAACGTGCTGGAAGCACAGTACTAACAGTTTGATTTCTCTGACACCTTGCAGAACTGGTGATCGCTTCAGCATATATTTGGTGATAACAACAACAACACCCTGAATCAAGGTGTAACTCTGCAATTCAGTGTCAGTTCTGTCCCTTTCTTGCCTAATTTACACTGAAGTTGGAGATCCAGGCAAAGCAGATATTCGGCACGTTGTTTTCTGTTTTGAAAACAGCTCAACATCCAACCTGCAATGCTACTTTTGCAGCGATGGAAAGCGACCCTGTCAAGCTTAAAAAGAGTAATGGGTGCTACAGGTCTTTCCAATTTAAATTCAGAGCAGTGTTCTTATCTGGAGAAAAAAACAAGGGGAAAAAAAAGGCCTGTGTGTTGAACTTTGCCTCTACTGGACAAAAGGACCCACCTCATCAGCTTCTTTTATGAGATCCTTTATAGTCAATGTAAGATGCACACTCATCACCTAATAATGGTTCAGACTTGTTTGTTTAATATTATATGTTTCTACATGTATTTTTTTCTCCCCACTTACAATGTCATCCCTTCTATTAATTTTTTTCCCTCTTTCCCTCATTTGTTGCATTAGTGCTACGGGATGACTTCCGCCAAAACCCTACAGATGTTGTGGTGGCAGCTGGAGAGCCTGCCATACTGGAGTGCCAGCCACCTCGAGGACACCCCGAGCCTACCATCTACTGGAAGAAAGATAAAGTCCGCATCGATGACCGGGAGGAGCGGATCAGTGTGAGTGCAACTCGCTGGCTGTTTGTCCACAGACACAGGGCCCACAGCCAAGTGCAGCAGAACTTTGTGGTTTTATAGCCTTTCCCACAGAGGCTTTCAGCAGGTTGCCTCTCCAAGCTTTCCCAGATGAAGGCAGAAGGTTGTTAATTGCTTCTGGTTTGGCTCTCTGCCCTGAACTTCTCTGAGGGTTGGTTTGTGTGTCCAGTGTAATGGAGATCCATTCAGCCGTAGGTTTGGTCATGTAAGGTGCTCGGTTTGATGGGGGACTCAGTGGATGTCTCTGAGCCATTTGGCCTTATCTTTTCTACATCTCAGTTCAATGAACTGACAAAATCAGACTTTATATCAGAAAGGTGTTTTATAGGTAAATTCAGCCATGTCTCTGAGGTGCAGATACTCCATGGGAAAAACCCCCAACATCTTAGGATGATATTGGTAATGCTGTATTTGGTGTAGTAATTTGGGCATGAATTCTAAATGAAGGCTGAAGTTCTTACCCTAAAGAATTATGACTCCTAAATAGGAATACATATTGACTAATTGAGTAACATCAGCTGAATTCTGTGACCGTTCATTTCTCGTACTGAGTGAAAAAGGATCCAGCAAAAGTACCTAACTTACCAAGTGATTATAAGTAAATCATGGTCTGTGCGAGCAACTGGGATAAATTAAGGGTGTGAGGACATCTCATTCCTAATTTTTAAATGCTTAGCTTTTCACCATTAACATTCCTTCAGTAAAGTTTTATGTTGTATGTAATGAGTCAGTGCTGACCTTATTCAACATGGAAGTACTATCAGGAAGATTGTTCGTGGCTTTGCATGCCTAAGGAATGATTTCGAGCCAAACAATCTAAGTTGTCGCTATTTGTGGGCCAGGGTCTCTCTGCTAGGGTCTGCACAAGAGTAGAGAAGGAAGAGTTACAGGGCTATCATTCCCTGACCCTCAAGTTTCTTTGGCTATATTCCTAGATTATTCTGAAGCACCCCACTGTCTAACCTTTGACACTGTCTGTGCCTTTTTGCCTTCATAAGCTGCAAATTTTTAACTTTATTTCTTTCAACTATCCTGCTCTTTCCCTCTCCAAGCACCCTTTGTAGCCAAGAAAATGTTAAGTCTTACGGGATTCAGGTGAATTCTCAGATTGGGCCAGGTTCAATCTGTTTGCCTCAACAAAGAAAGAAAATCTGTCTTAATCAGTGATCAAGGAAACTGTTAAGAAACCGGTAAAATGAACTAAATAAAACTAAGTCCAATTGCTTTTCTTCTCAGAGATGCCAACAGTGCTTTATGTATCATCATGCAAGAAATACAAGCTCTTTGTGCTGCCAAGGGGCAGCAAGAAATATAAACTTTGAAATGTAAAGAACCTTAAGAAAACCAAAGGAAAAAAATTAAGTGCAGTTAAAATTAGTTGCAAGCTGAAATTAGTCACCATGATAAAAATGTTCTCTAGAGCAGCTTAAATATATTTAAATACATAAATTTATAATTCTTAAGCTATACATATATTTAGAAGCAAAACTTTAAAATGCCTTGATTGCGGAACTTGTTGGCTGAGAAGGCAGCTCTTTTTTTTTTTTGCCTTTTTTTTTTTTATTTCTGATGTGCTTTGTTTATCTGAAGTTAAAAACATGTTCCTCGTTTCGGGACAGATCCGTGGTGGGAAGCTGATGATCTCCAATACGAGGAAAAGCGACGCGGGCATGTACACCTGCGTCGGGACGAACATGGTGGGGGAGCGTGACAGCGATCCCGCGGAGCTGACCGTCTTCGGTAAAGTGACTCTTGCTTTTATTTCCTCCTCACCACAAATGCCATAGACTGGATTGGCCTGGGTGGCTCATCAAAATATAAGACTAAAAAAAAAAAAATTAATAAAACACAGTAGTGCTGCTTCAGATGCGTTTCACAGTTTCTGAAGAAGGCTAGGTTTCGAAACCTGCTGTTTATAACGGTGGAGTTGTGATGGCTCAACATTTTTCCCTCTGAGCGTGTGGTTTCAACCTAATTGCAGGTCCATGGTGATGTGCAGACACCAGAGATGATAATGCAGGACACAATGCCCTCCCTCACAAAATTGCCAAAAGTAGTTAAGCTACTTCTAATAGAGTTGACAATGCCTGTTTGCCAGACATTTGGACTAACATTGCCTGTTTAAATAATTCCATATTCCTGTGGGGTTGTGAAATCAAACCTTTGTAGGAAAGCACAGAAGAGCTTAGTTGATGAGTAAAAAGTCTTTGAAGAAAATTACGAAATCGAATTGTTATCTATGGAGAGATGCTATTTTCATTTGTTTTTTAGAGGGCATGAAACAGCTTTTCATCCTGTAAGCCAGTTAGGCTTTTGGTGCTGCTGAATGAATCAAAACCAAATAGGTTTACTGTATGAAAGAGCTTCTAGACCTGATAGGCAAGACAAGAATGTTAAAAACATTCCCTCCATGGTTAGGGTCCAGAGCAAGAATAGAGTAATAACTGAACCTAGAGTTGGATCCATCCTGCTAACAACTTGACAAGAGGCAAAGCCACAAAATCCTGCTGTGGTACATCCTGCAATCATGGTTTTGTAGGAATTAGTCAAGAGGTTCTGAGCAAACAAAGGCAAATCAATAAGGAAAAAACCCTCACGGACGTGCCAACAAGAGAGAAGTAGTGTTAATGTTTCCTCCTGCTACAGCTCTTTGATATCCTTAATATACAATATTGAGATTCCAAACAAGACTGCTCGGAATTCCAGTAAGACTTTTAACAGAAATCCGAAAATCCTTTCTGAGGCAGATGCTCCTATTTTTTCCCCACCTTCTGCATAATATGGTGCACTGGAAAACCCAGTCATATTACCATCTCTGAGTTTGCATGTATATGCAACTCAGCATTCATTTGTCCACCTTAAAAAAAAACCCCAAACATACTATGGGATTCACAAAAGGCAAAGAAAAGTTTCTGCTAGACAATATCTGAGCAAATTCTGCTGGACAAGTGACTGAATATTTTCTGCTTTCCAGCATTACAAGACTGTAAAGGCTTCCACTTCACGTAATTTGTTGTGGATTCATGGAAACATGCAACTTTTAAGGACAAAACTATTATACATTCCAAAGGAAAAAAAAAAAAGGCAGAGAAAGGATCTCTATCAAATTATTATGTCCTTTGCAGCCAATCTGTTGAAGTTGTGCTTTTAAACAGATGTGAAAGAGACATGACATATCTCCTTCATCAGTTTAAGTACTGCTAATCTCTGGTAATACTCCCTGTGGATAGCAAGCAGATTGCAGTCCTAAACTACAAAGCCCTAAGAAATCCTTAAGAAAATAATTTGTTAAAAAGCATTGAACTGTAGGAATGAAAACTGAAATGTTCATGTAACTTCATATCCTGCCAGGCTATGAAAAATATGAGGTTTATCTTGGTATGTAAAAGAATGCATAGCCAATTGCAATATTCTGATTTTTTTACAGGATACAGTCATAGCAATCAACTTGCAAAAATACAGTCTGAAATTATTTGGTGAATACTGAACAACATCAGCAACAAATGAGATTAGCCATTTTAATGCTAACTTAAGTGTGTTGGACTACCGAAAGAAAATTGCATTAAAATACTCTATGTCAGTATCTTCCTATTTAAAATTTCCCTTCCATCTGTGGACAGAAGGGGATACCCTTCCTACCTTCCTTTTTACTGCACAAGGATAACACACAGGAAGCAGGTGCTCAGGTTTTGCTGTTTGACAAAATGGTTTGAGTGTCCTGCGCCTGTTTCCTGGCCCTGAAGCTCTGTGTTGGTGCTTTGGGCTCCCTGTATAGTCATGTCCAGGTTAGTCCTGGTCCATTCCATGCAAAAGGAGCTGACTTGGCTTTGCTCTCCCACCAGCACAGCAGTTGTATTCCATTCCTGTGCTCCAGGCTGCAGCTCCTGTGTGAGCAGGTGAAAGCAGAGTGCACTGGAGAGCGTTATCCGTGGTATTTCCAGGAAGCACTGTGTCTACTGGACACTGCGATCAGTCTAAGCATATAAAATAAATGCAATAAATCCAGAGACTGGGAAACGTCAGGTTGGCTTTGCACGTTCAAATTGGCTTCAATGAGCAAGGCAAGACCAAGGATCACATGTTAAGTCCACAGCCACCTTCTAATATGACTCAGAGGTTTGAGGAGCATGGGAACAGGGCAAATTTTGAGGAAAAATATGCTGAAAATAGCATCATACTTATATGCAATTCATGTGTCCAACTTTTAACTCTTTTGCACATATTTGAAAATGGACTTTAGTATAAAAATAAAGATAAGAGACTTAGAGAATGTAATTAGATGACTGGCAAGCCTAGAGTTGGTGATGATTCTGGAGAGGAATGCATATTAATTAGCTGATTATTCACTTCTCTACTCCTTTCCTGAATAGCAACCTTCCAAACCCCTTTCACAGACTGAAGGTGGCCTTAGTAAAGTACTCTATGTAGGAAAAAGGAACTGTTTCATACTAGTTCTCAAACCTCTCTGGGAACCAGCCACTTGTTACTTTTGGCTTTGCAAGTTTTTCTGTAATACCTGAAGTTCACTTCTGCGTGTGACTTGTGACAGCTCTCTGGCTCCCTGTACAGAAAATTTAGCTGGAGGCATTGCCTCTGGAAAAAGTGAGTCAGTGTGGTGGGAACTGGTGGCCTGAGGGGAACAGCATGGAAGCCTAGCCTAAAATATTACACCTTTCCTGAGTTTGGAGACAATAAATAAGAACCTTGGAAAGAAGTAGGGGGAGAAAATAACAAGTTTCCCATGGGCAGAATATATCCACTTGGCTGGGTACCCATTCAATAACCTTTGCTGAGAGATGGTTGTGAATAATACATGTAGAACTTTCACAAAACAACTGATTTTATTTTTTTTTTTCCCAAGCTTGTCTGCTTGAAACCTTGTTTTCAACATTTAGGCACTACTGACTGTGTGCTGGTAGTGTTGAAGCAGATTGCATTTCTTTTGCTCCCAAGTCAGGATTCTTCTACCAGCAGAAAATTGTCAAACTTTCATAGCAAAATACCATAAAGCAAGCTGGGCGTAGAAGCAGCACTACCCAAAATTGTTCCTGTGTTTTGAATAGTCACAAGGATGCACTGCATTTTGTTAGACTTTTCTTTCAAGCACTACTGCTAGTTTTTGCCTTTATGAGGCTCCAAGGTCCAATCTTGGGGGAAAGCAAGAAGACAGGGGCTGTGACGGGGTTGTCCTTTACAGGGAATTAATAACATCAATCCTAATGCTCACAAAAAGAGACAGCGTGGGACTTTATTATTATGAACACACCATTCTAAAGGCCAATTTCAGGAGTGTAAGTGATACAAATTAGGTTGCTTTGCTTGTGTTTGGGCTCATAGCCTTTGGCTGAACGGAATTAAAGCAAGATGCAAAACAGAAACAGTTTAATTCCAATTTGTAAGAAAGCTTTGTTTGTAAATACATAATATGGAGCCAGAAATTAAATAAAGTAGGAATTACTCTTTAAGATAACCTTTATCATATTGCCCTGTTCTAAGTTTTCAAGTTGTTTTAACTGTTTTAAACTCCCTTTTTTTTTTTTTCCTTTGGACTTAAAATGGTATGTTTGAAGTGCATGTACAAAGGTGTATCTTGTATATTGATTCTAAAGCTCAGTGAAATCAATGAAAGCCTTAGTGTATCAACTTCAAGAGGCTGGCATCAAGCAGTGGAAAAAGATATATTTAGAAGAGCCTCAAAAGAATATAAAGCATAACTAAGAAGAGTACAAAAATGTCTTTAAAAGATATGTCAATTTGGACATAATAAAGATTGTTTTGGATTAATCTTTGATTTAAACTTTGGTACCTGACCCTTTTTTCTGCTAATAAGGTCCTGTGGGATGAAGAGGCACTTTTGTCTGATGCTTGAAGAAGTATTTGTGTTTGATGTTCTGTAGATATTGTCAGGCTGAAAGAGAAACCGTACTTTCAGGGAGAGTATTCTGTGATGACATGGCATTAGAGGAAAAAAAAGTCCAAAAATCCTTTAATGAAGACATTGTACCCCATTTTGCTTTCTTGAGCTCAGGCTACGTGGAAGGCCTTAGCAGACAGCCTTGTCCCATTGTATCCTGGAAATTAGTCCCAGAAGCTTTCCCAGTCTCATGGAAAAATCCACCAAAACCAGATAATATACATTCACAGGTCGAGACAGAGAAATCAGTACCGTGTGTTTTGTCCTTCAGATGAAAGTTCCTCTGAGTTTTCTTCAGATACTTGTATTTTCCACTTGCAGTCTACTTGTGGCAATTTGCAAAAAGCCAGTTTGGCTTTATAATATTTGTTATTCCCAGATACAGAGAAGTTGTAACAGGGTAACAACACTGCTGTGAAAAAGGGTCTGATTTGGTCCCAAGGTCTGTATGTAATGGTCAGTAAAAACTGAAATGAATGTGGTTGAAGCACATATAAAAGGAGAAAACCACTAGCAATGGATAAAAATAATTCTACTGCGTTTGCATGTGCCTCTTGTCGGTGCCCCCTGCCTTTACTGGCAAGCTCATCTCACCTTAGAGATGAGCTGTTTAGGGAGCAGAAGTTTGTAATGTCTACAAAAGTGCTTATTTCTCTAATGAAAAATAGAAAAGTACCTAAAAAGAGGCAGCAGAAGAATGTCTTTAAATATAAAGCCATCTGCTTTTGCAATTGTATTTTCTTTTATTTGGCCAACGTAGGTAAATTTAGTGAGATCGTAATATCCTGTCTTATTCCACGTCTTCTTTTTTGGCAGAGAGCTTTCCTTCATCCAGATCACGTTGTATTTAATAACATATCTATGCTACTGACAGCATTCTCAAGTGAGACTTACTTCCAACCATCCTATGTTTCCTTTTTTTTTTTTTTTTCTTTTTGCATCAGAACGCTAAAGGGAGAAAAGCTTTTATTTTTTAACATTTACTATTAAATCCCTCCCCAAAGCCTTTTAATTTTTGTTTTAATACTCTTTCTAGACCCAAGGAAAAAAAAAAAAGCATTTTAAAAAAAATTATGTCTTCTCTCCAGTGAAGAGAGAGAAAATAATTCCAAATCAGATTGAGGCTCTACATTATGGGGACCATCAGATCCTTCACTCTAGCAGTTGCCTCAGCAGAGAAAACATATTAAGGTAGTTAGGATCATTTTAATTAGATTGAGGCCCCATGTATGGCTATCTAACTTTTTGAGGAACAGAGAAAGGGCAATAATACATCTGAGGGTCATCTGAGTCTCTCTAATAGACTGTGATACTCAGACCAATTGTTAAATATGGGAAAAATTGAGTTCTGAGGTTAACTTGTGTCAGCACCCAAAGCAAGGAGAGCATTTTCCTGTCTCTGGTTAGGATCTGTAGGTTTCCTTGCAGCACATATCTCGAGCTCTGCAACAGATTGTTAGATGTGTGTCCAGATTGCATTAACAACCCCCTTTTATAACTGCAAGCAAAGTTTATTCTGAAGTTACAAAGGTCACCCTAGTAATAGCATGACTGGTTGACATGACATATAACCATGACCTATTTTATCGTTCTCCTCAAAGATTTTTAATATTCATCAGAGAAAGTCTGGGAAGTAGGTGCTTTATTTACTCAGTGAAAGCTTATAAAATAGCTATATTAAATTTTTTATATATGTCTGTGATTTTAATTTATCACCCTTTCTTGTTGTTTCTCAAGTATATTGCATTCTGGATGCTGTTGACAGAATAACAATGTTTAATTATACCACCAGGCTTTATTTATGGGCAAACCATTTCAGAAGAAAAAGATAAAAATAAAAAAAGATTTTTTTTTGTCAAGATTAGCTCTTAAACTAAATTTGACCAGGTTGTGTGAAGAAACCTTCTTTATTTAGCATGCTTGGGCAGGCAGCGCTCTGTCTCCTGAGAGATTAACATTGTAAGCAAGTTATGCAGGTGACTCAAATCCAGTTAATCTCATATAAAGAATGTTAATTGCATTGGCAATGGCATTCACTCTGATCACTTTATAGCTGTATAATTAGCTATTGGACACATTCAAGGGGTTTTCTGAGTGATACAAATACAGGAAACAACATGAGAGGTAACTTGTTCTTTCCTGATTCACGCTGAGCAAAATGCAGAGATGATGGAAAAATGGAACCAGGCAGTTAATGCTATTTGCATTTCCTTACTAAGTGGGATTTGTTCTTTCATAGCAATTTATTTTCTAGAAGCTTCTGAAATGTTTTTGAAAATACACAGTCTTAAGAAGCTGATCTGAAACAAATGTATGTGTATGCTCCTAAATTTACTTGATGTAGAACCCAGTGATTTACCTAATGACCTTTGGGCTATTTACTTTTTGGGTTCTCCTCAACATGTGACAGGGATTTCTTTCTTCATCTCCTGTGTAGAAGAATTTACAGCCACAAGCAGCAATTTCATCAATATGCACACACTAATTTCTTAGCTGTTTACATGCAGCTCTTATACACGTAGTCTAAAATAATTTTTTGTATGCAGACCAAGCTGTTGTGCAGATACACACAGAGTTATTTAAAGTCATTGTGGATGAACTAAGGACCTCTAAGCCGCCACTTGAAATGTCAATCTGAAATCTAAATCTCTTAGTTTAGGGTCATTTTTGAAAAACAGATACCAAAATGAAGGATATGTTATGTATGAGCTCAGAGCAGGGGTTGATCTGAGCTCTTCTTGTGAATAAGATACTGTTGATAACCTGCAGAAAGTTTCATACAGAAATTCCCATCTAGATTCACATAGTTACAAGTGGGCCAAGTGCATTGCTTAGCACTAACGTTAAGAAATAATAGGTGTTTTTACCTTGCCCAGTTTTAATAAGTTTGTCAAACTAAAAAAGGCTTTATCCAAAATTTTCCGTGCCGGACTGGATTTTAATTTATTTATTTTTAAATTGCCAAAATAATTCACTCTCCTTTAAAAATGTTGAAGTTCTTGCAGTTTTGAGTAAAAGGAATAATTAAAGAGAAGTGGGCAAAGATTTGAAGGAGAGGAATGGAGGAAGCTCTCTGTCCTGAGAACTGCAGGTCCCATACAATATTTCTGGGCTAAGATGAGACAAATTGACTAAGGAAGCAGTCAGCAGCTGGACATGGCCTGTACACAGACTTGAAATGTGGAATAGTAAAGATTTCAATGTGTGGAAAGAGACTAGAACTGAATTTACATGCCTGAACGTTGCTGAAACCTGCAGGTCCTGGGCAGGAATAGGACAAAAGCAATGGCTTGGAGAGAAGAATCTCTGCCCATTAGACATATTCTTATCTCTATCATCTGGAAAAGTGCTACAGATTCTTGAACATGTCTATTCTTCTGCTGACAAAATACGTTTTCCCCTGCCAATAGGTCTCCCTGCTACTATCATGGAATTCCTCTGTGATGCTGTCACTCATTTGCATAATTACTAACAGGTGGTTTTGTGATCCTTAATTTTCTGACTTGATATTCTGATTTATAAAAGGGGTGAGCATTTTTTTTTTTGTCTGCAGCTGAATTCGATGGAAGTTTAATTAATGCTTTATTCTCCCCGCCCCTCAAAAATTGCCAGTTTCGTGGCTCAGGTTGGGCATAAAAATTTAGCAGATAGTTTTTATCTTGCTTTCTAAGATCTCCATCACACCTCTGAAAGGAGTTATGAAAATCAGTGAGTTGCTCATGAAGCATTACGATATGTATAATAGAGGTCATGAGGAAATTAATAATTCTGCCTTTGAAGTGAAGTTTGAGTAGTATGACAGGAGGCCACCCACTAAACAGTACAACTAAAGCAAAATATTAAACACCTGCTCATTAAATGAACACCAACAGTCTGGAGATGTTTGGGGAAAAAAATGGTGTGTTATCATATAATTGCAACCAGTCCCATAAGGCATAAACAGAAAGGAAGTGATTAAAAGGCACGCAGGCAGCCTTAGTTCTGGCAGCGAGGTGCTGCCTGCTTGATTTTGCAACCTTATTAACGCTCTTTAATGGTTTTTATTTTTATTATTATTTGCTTATAATGAACATGGATAACCAACCTATAAACTCAGCTCTGTAGTTATCAAGACAAAGTGCCTGAGTCAGAATCTGGTATTGCTTGCATCTATGTGAATTTTGAGTAATATTTTTAAGTGGCATCATACCCTTCAACTTGCTGAGAATGAAATGTGAAACGTAGTATGTAACCAGTTTTTGTGATAAATCCCTGTCTTGAGTGGAAATACTGCTTCATATAAACCCAGCCTTATAATGGTTTGGCTGGCATAAATAATTTACGGCAATAAGAGTGTGGTATGGCTGAGAGGACAGAGTAAAATTCAGGCAATCCAAAGGCAGCTTGGAAACTAACCCCAGTGACATCCTTTCAAATGAAATTACCGGTCCTTGGAGTTTGTACCAGTGTCTGTGTACAGGGTACTGTACCAGTGCAGCTGAGATCAGATTGTGGCTCTGCATCTGGATTTCAAGCAGGCCTGTACAACATTAGGGTGATTAATAATATTTGTAGCCGTGCAGGCTAAAATAACAAGGGTAAACAGAAGTTATTGTTCAGACCTTAATTTGGTTTTCCATGGTGAAGTCGGCGAAGGGAAGCTCTGTCCTCTGCCCGACACTCCTCTATTGCCTGAGATGCCTAACACAGAGTTCAAATTTTCCTCTGCAGCATGAAGATATTGAGCGTTGCCAAAGGCAGGCTGGCTCCACTGGCAGCTCATATACTGCTAGAGCAGACAGGAGCTCTCAGATCAGGCTTTGTGTGTGCAGCAGAGCAGAGCCACAGCGTTCCCAGGGAAGGGTACAGGCTCAGAGGCCTGTCTGCTGTCCAGCAGGGCAGGTGGGCAGTCAGTCCTGGCACAGGCTACATTCTGGTGGCACTCCACTCTTCCTTGAGGGCCAGATGCGACAGCCCCTGCCTCTCCAGCCTGGCAGCCCTCTTCCTGGCTCTTTATGCACATCATCAGTTCCACTTGTCTGAATTTGTGGAGCTCAGCCTCCTTTCTGTGTGGTGGATGGGTAAACAAAATGATGCTGAAAAGTCAAAAAATGTTCATTTCAACCCTCTGACTCACTAAAGAATTTTAATGTCTCTTTCAAGAGCGGCCCACGTTTCTCAGGCGACCGATTAACCAAGTGGTGCTGGAGGAGGAGGCCGTGGATTTCCGGTGCCAGGTGCAGGGGGATCCCACGCCCACAGTCCGGTGGAAGAAGGATGATGCAGATTTACCGAGAGGAAGGTGAGAGCAACATTCACGTTCCCTACACTTTCAAATTTCAGTTGTTGAATAATGCTGGAATCCATCCCTACTACTTAGAGTAGACATTATTTCTGAGTTTTATTTCCCTTATGGCTGGTCTTTGGCACTACAAAACTTGTTCCAGAGCCAGCTGAGCAGGGACACCGAGTCTGGGTGAGTTGTCTGGGTAATGGATTCCTGTGGAAGGAAGAAAAATGATTTGTAGGTGTTGTGAGCACATGGGTATTCACTGAATTTACTGGAGATAGTAAAGATGTCTTAGGAATGTATTAGTGAGAGTAGCCTTCAGAATAATGTGCTGATACCAGGAGGGAGAGAACTTGGCAGGAGAGTTGCTCTGTTGCACTAGCAGAAGGGATTAGAAGCACAGCACCGTGGTGGGCTTTGCTGGCTCCTTGGTTCACGTCTATTAAGTCTTGGAGAGAAACCTTCCTCTGGAGGAAACAAAAAGCCAGAACTAGCACAAGCATAAAGCAAAGCTGAAATCTGGAACAGGCCCCTTGTGTTCAAGAAAGATTCGTGTATTCCGGAACAAACACGGAGAAAATTCCAGAGTGAGCAGGGGAAGGGAGACTCTCCTGCAAAAGAGTATTAAATTAGTTTGGCTCCTTTCAGCTAACAGAACAGCATTTGGTCCTCATTTTCTGGAACTCTTCCTTGTTTTGATGTTGAATCATCGTTACATTAAAAAATATTAACACAGAAACAGGTCTGGGAACAGGAATTAGAACCCAGGTCTCCATAACCCAACAAATCCTTCTTGACCTTGTGACTTTTAATTTCAGCAGCAGATGTGAATAGTGCCAACTTTTTTCCCCACACCATAGTTGATCTTTTCCATCAGTGGAATATAGTAATGGAATACATAATCTAGACAAAACATTTCTACACAAGTAAGATACGTATGTGTGTATATATATAAATACTTTAAAAAATTAATTTTCTTGCAACTTCAAACAAAATTAAATATTGACTTAGCTGTTTTGCTCATTATATTGGCAGATGTGTATGCATGTAATATACAAAATATTATTTTGAAGAGAAGACTTTTGGATGTCAGGATGGGTTTTTCTCTTTGCTTGCTATTTAACCATGCATTGTAGAGTAGTCCACAGGACGTACATTGTGCTTATGTGATTTATTCTTGCTGTTGTGCTACTTCGATTGTTTTAAATCGTGTCTACTTCTCGGTCTCATAAGCAGAAGTAACAGATGAAGAGCCAACAATGTCTTTGGTCAGGTTGCACTTTTAGTAGTCTCTTTTTTAATGACTATGTTATTTCTTTTTGTTTTCCATCTTACTGTGAAAAACATAGTACTGTGTGCTTTGAGGTAATTTTTCCTGTTCATTCATGATGTATTTCTAAGGAAGAAAAAATGTATCAGGAAGCATAGGAAAAGTTTTCACTGGGCTTTTAACTAAAAGGAGAGAAGGTTCATGGGGTACATTCTGATAATAATCAACTTCATGCTTCAAAACTACTCTCAGTGTTTTGCAGTGTTTTCACACTGCCGTTTAACATTTCATTAATTGTGTTTTGGCATCTTAAAAGAGAAGGTGAGGGTATTTCTCCATCTGGATCTGTTTCCCAGAACATCAGAGGGGTGGGTAAGGAAGGGGCAAGGTTGCAGAACTTCACTGTGGAGACCACCTTGGGGCACAGAGGACTGACACAGCCCCTTGCCCACGTAGTGGGTGACCACCAGCTGGGCCACATGGGTTGTGGTCATCCAGTAGGATCTGACATCTGCACTTCAGAAGCAAATACCTCTGATGATCAGCTTTGTATGTTTTCTTTTCTAAAATGTTTCATATCTATAGCAGAATATGTGAGCAGAGTCTTCACTGTCCAAAGAGTGGAAATTTCCAAAGCATACTGCATGATGCTTAATCAAGGAAGATTGACTTGGAACAGCTAAAACAAAAGCTATTGGTGTGGGTTTGGTTTTTTTTTATTTATTTTTATTTTTTAATACCAGCAAAGAAATTTGCTCAAGTATAATCTGAAGGTATAGATAAAGGTAGGTTTTTTGGTTTCTTTTGAGGTAAACAAGAAATAAACTTTCAGCTTCTGAGGCCCTCTATTTTAAGTATTTTAACATCTACAGTGAAATATAAAGCCCTCAAGGAATTCCCTTTGTTATTCTTCCTACATGCATAAACACTTCTTCTGAGCAGATCTGTGCAGCCATTTGTCTTATAACTTTCCATATCAATTTCCTGTTTCTACAACTAACAACGTTCTTTGCACATCTGCTGGTTTTCATTTTTTCAATAATTTCCTTTTGGCTTCATCCCTAGATTACAAGACAATTATAGAAGGTACCTGTTTCAACAACTTCTGCACATTTTTAAACGTGTCTGTTGTTAGTTCAACTTCCAAAAGTGTCTAGTTCAGTGGCAGCAAAGTAGGATAAACTGAATTTTTGCATTTTGTTTCTGTAATTTGCTCTTGGTGAATGCCAGAATCAGCAATAGTGGATCCATAGTCTTTCAGAAATCCTTCTCTGTTTTTCCACCTAACTTACTTTCAGGTCTTTTTAGTGATGTGTGAAAGCAGAGTAATCACCAGTATATTCTGGTAACAAATATAAATAGTATTGCTGCACTGATTTGTGTGTTGAGTAATAATTGGAAAATAATTTCAGAATGTTAGAGTTTTAATTATAAAGGTCCCTGATGAACAACGAGCATCTCCAGTTGAAATTGGATTAAAAGAGAAAAAAAATCCCAACCTCTAAAGAAATTATTATGTTTGAAAGCGTCACTGTTTATAAAAGAATTAATTTGGCCATTTGTTGAAAAGTCTGTGTAATTAACCAGAAATGTATGAATAACCGTGCTTTAAAACAGAGCAGATAGTTTATTCTGGAGGTGCAAAACTTCATTCCAAATTTTAGCTGCTTTGAGTTGATGATCTAAACCAACTATGGTGGTCTCTGTTTTGATTTTAAAACCTTAAAGTGGTCCTTTGAGTGGCATTTTTCAAAATGCCGAGGTAACATCGGTCTCACCAGCAGTCACGGGAAGTTACTTGTCCAACATCCTGTAGACCTGAGATTTCAGACTGGGATATGTATCCTGGAGCTCTTCTGCGTGTGGCTGGACAGGAATTAGGAAAACAATGAATACCAGATGGAAACAGTGTTGTGACTTATATGTAATAACATATAGTTAGTTATGTCACATTGTGTTAATGAATTAATTGTAATCTTCAGTCTTTAAAATTCTTGTTAGAGCCCAAACTGATCCCAGCAAGTTAATAACTTGCTGATTTAAATGTTGATACAGCACCAAGAGGGAGGAACAAAATGCAAAGTGAAGTCAGGGGTGTGTAAAGCCTTTTTACCAGAAGCTACCCATTTCAAATCAGTGACCCAAGACTGAAACGCGTTGTAAATCAAAGGTAGAGGCGCATGGTGTATATTTTATTTTAATTGCTCTAAAAATTCAGCATCACACCATAGCCTCCACAGTACGCAAAGGCTAGGGAATAGTTAATCAAGTATGACTCATGTCAAACTACTGGAGGTGAACAGGATATTGTGGGGTCACCAGTCCTATGCCTTTGGCTAAAATATGAGGTTCACTATTTCATGAATAAGTTCTTTTCATTATAAGCGGCACAAGGAAATGGCACAACGATTGTACTAAGGTGACTTAGACAATTGTGGCCGTGCATAATGATTAGGACCTATTGAAAATGGAATAAAAATTGTCTTTATGCATTGAAATATCTTTCCAGACACATACTCAGGTATCTTTCCCTTTGATGCCTTCTTGGCAGAAATAGAGATTGTACTTTACTGCTAAAGAGCTGATGGTTTCCTGTGTGGTGGGAAACACAAGATGGCCTGGATCCACTTTTGACTCGTCTACTTTTTAGTCCTGGTAACAGGAAGAAAGTGATATTATTTGAGAGCCTCCAATATGAGAGTGGCATATCTATGACTAGCAATTTAATAAAATTTGAATAAGGTTTGCACAGTGTTTCATTTCTTCAAATTTTCTAGCGAAGCCAAAGAGAGCAGCTGCGTGGTCTGTAATTACATAGCGAGTAATAAGGACTTTTTTTTTTTTTAAGGAAGTGAAGAGATTTTCAATTACAAGTCAAAATTTATGACACACTGTTTAAACCTTTTATAGAGAAGAAGCCAGCAGTGCCAGCTCTTCGGGAGAGTGAGGTTAGCTCAGCAAATGTATTTTTCAGTTGCCTTAAAAATGACTGAGCAGCAATCACATAGGCCTTTTTTTTTTTTTTGCATTCCAGCCCCAGAACAGCTGTTTTAGCTCAGTAAATACATCTTTAATGAAATTACAACCTGCTCTTTTAAGTTGCACTTACAGGCACTGTCTGATTAGGTGGATATTGTACTAGAGATGAAAAGTGGCAACTGCACCAGCAGGAAGAGGTATTTGTTTTATGCATCACCCACACAGTGGGAGTGTAGGCAGAAAAACCAAGAGTGATGCTTCAGAACGACAGTGGTGTGCAGTTTACACAAGGTATATTGCTAAGTGTTAAGAGATTGTAGGTTATTAAAATGAAACAGAGCGGTGACACACAGCAGTAAAAACCACAAACAGCACAGTAAGCTTTCTTGCTTGCTGAAGATTAGCAATATTCATTAAAAATTATTTGGGAAAGAGCATTCTTAAAGCATAGAATTAAATTATATATTCTGAGATGTATGTTAGCTGCAACAACACAAGTCTGTGTAGGTGTTAGTTTTGCTATATTTTTAAAACTGGATGCCTTGTACCTGAAAAGTGATTGCATATGCATATGCACTGTCACACTTCTGATAGTACTTACTGAAAAAGTACACACCTATAATTTCCATGCTTTCCTCCATGGCATCTTGTGAGCCCAAAGCTAAGAGTAAAACATGAAATTTTAGAAATATGTTACTGTCTTCCAGATGCAAATCTTTGAAATGGATTTAGATGCAACTGACAGCGAACCTTATCCTAATGA